CGCCCGTCGCGGCGTGCCGACCACTGCGCCTGTTGGGCTCGGGAAGGCCTCTTTCGGTGCTGAAGTTGTCGAGTAGCCAGCGTCCTGGACGCTTGATGGTCATCAGGTACGGGGCGGAGGACTTGCAGTACGGGGGAGTCGCCATAGGCCCTGGATCTCAGAACGCGGATAGGCCGGTCACCAGCTGGTGTGTGTTCATTCCTGGCGGGAGGTTCTACGGGGAAGATATCTCGATGGAGGGCGAGCCGGCTCCGCTGCGGGGCGTGGGACGGCGGCTCCGACGGTTTGACGCTGGACCACCTGCCGCGGTCGACGGGACTGCCATGCCTGTGCTGCCGCCTCCCGTCGAGGCTCCCGCGGTGGAGGTCGCTGGCGTCGTCGGGGGCCGCGAGTCGGTGGCGCCGTATCTAGCGGTGTTGCTTGGGCTCTCGGCCCCTCGCGACGGTGTGGTGTGGCTCATCGCTGAGAACGATAAGGGCCACGAGACGCTCGGCATGGAGGTGGCGTTGCGTGCTGGCGACATCCTCGTGACGCCGACGGACGGCCTCGTCGACGGACACGGCTCCTCCCTGTGGGTTCAGGCTGTGCCGAATGCTGAGTGCGGTGAGTTCGAGGAGGGATTCCGCGCTCGGTATGGAGGCGCTGCGGCTGCGGCAGGCCCCTCGGCTTTCGGAGCTCGGGCTTCGGGTCCTCCCCTGGCGCTTGAGGTTGACGTCCGTACGTGCTGGGCTGGCTACTGTAAGGTCGGCGAGAGTTCCAACATCTGGGACAAGGCCGTTCAGGAGAGCACAGAGGAGCCCATCGCCATGGGAGGTTCGGGGTCCGCCATGGGTCTTGCACTTCGCTCAGCAGATGGAGCAAGGTGGCGGAGACCCGCGGCCGAGTCGGCGGGAGTTCGCCCGCGGCGCTGGCGTCTCCAAGTCGGATCGGGTACACCACGAGATGACTACCGTGACGGAGAGCTACCAGCGTTTCGGTGAGTACGACCAGCTCCGATCGAGCTCGTCGGCGGGCATCTGAGAACATTGTGCAGAGGATGATGGGCGCGATTCGTGCCCACTCTGCTGGCGGTGGCATTCCCTCGTGGAGGATGGCTGCCGTGTGCGAGGGCGGGGCCAACTGCGGGAACGCCATCGCGCCCGCGTTGCGCGGGTGGACCGTCAACAGGCTGAGGGACCCGAACGAGACTGTGCACACTCGGACGCGCCAGCTGCTGCCTGTGGCAGAGGGCGCTGACGCTGGAGGCAGGCGAGGTGCCGCTGACGGTGGTCGAGGCCGCGGGCGCGGCGACGCAGGACGGGGCGGACGGGGCACTCGATGCTCCAGCGCCCCACAGGATGGTTGACTCGGATGACGGGTTGTGGACAGCCCTCCACGCCACGGCCCGCTGAAGGTGGGGGACTCTCGGGCGCCTGGGCGCCCTCGCCTCTTCGAGCAGTTCCCGCTGGCCCTACCGCGGCGGGAAGCTGCTCCTGCGGCTGGCGGTCGGCGTCTCAGGCGGTTCCGTGCCCGTGATCATATCCGACAGCTCGTTGCGGCGGGTTGTAATGCACTTAATTGGCTTGCTAAGACCGACGCTCGACGACCGCCTCACGTCCGAGGGCGGCCAGGCCCTGGCGGCTACGACGGCGAGGCTCTCATGCATGAGGCGGCGCCCCAGCTGGGCGAGAACCTGACCTACCTAGAGGCGCTGGCGGTGCTTCAGGTGCGGGAGGGCGCTCGAGATTTTTCATGCCGCCAGAAGCGGCCCTTCGGGAGTTGATCTGCGACAGGGCGTCTGGCTACAGGATGGACGCTTGTTCAACTACGCTCGCGCCGTACCAGCGTGGTCAGGTCTCCCTGCCCGAGGAGAGAACCAGCGTTTCCAGCGTCTCGGAGCTGGTTGGAGATCGTGGCCGACATTATCTATCTGGAGGGCGCAGGTGAGCGCATGCTGGATCCTTTTGTCAGCAGCAGTTTTGATGATGGTGCTGAGCGGTGCTACGTGGGCCCTTAGCTTGCTGGCAGCCCGACGCTCTACGCCCGTTTTGTCCGCGACCTGAAGGCCAGGAACATGCTGGTCTTTGGCGCCTGGGCTCATGGGTGCACTGGACTCTCTTTTGCTCGCGAGAAGAACGGGGAGCTCCGCCTCATCCTCGACGCGAGGCGCGCCAACGGGAGCGCCTCGCGTCGACCTTTTGACGGCTGCGGGCCTAGGCCGTATCGAGGTTGAGCTCCCCGATGGTCTCGATTTCTCTTCCCTGTACTGCGGCGCGGCAGACGTGCAGGATGCGTTTCACCAAATGGGCGTCCCGACTTGGCTGTCGCGCTGGTTCGGGCTCCCGCCCGTTCGCGCGGCCGGCATCGGGCTCTTGGAGACGCTGGGCGGGCCCGTCGGGCCTGGCGAGATGGTGGCCCCGATGCCTCGGTGCCTGCCAATGGGCTTCTCCTCGAGCTTGTTCCT